AAATGTTAGTCCCAATTATCAATCAGATTGAGATGAAAGTAACATACTGATTAAAGAACAAAGTTATTTCCCGCTCATTGAATGGAAGCCCTTTGGAAAATGTTAGGAAAAGGCACCTTTCTCCCTCAGGTGCTCGATTTTTCTTAATGTGCCACTCCGTTGCAAGTGGGTTTAGCTTTGTTTTGCCGATACTTGTTGAAGCAGTTGAACCATTAGCATCACCACAAAACTCAGTAGAATGACCTTTACCAACAATTGAATTCATGGCTTCTGAGGAAGACATGATGACCAATTTTGTGTGTGTGAGAGAGAGAGAGAGGGGGGGGAGGGAGAGATGTGTTGGAGCTTAGTAAGTAAAAATTATTCTTAAATAAATAACTTTAATAATAGATAAATATTATAATTTAATTTGGATAAACTTTTAGAAAAGTCTTTATACAATAATAAAAAATATTTTTTTTCATAAATTAAAAACAACTTGTATTTCTTTTTTTTTTTTTAAATTATAAATAATTTCTTCATTTAACTTCTTTAAAATTTAAACAGATAAATTATTTTTAACATAAAAAAATTTATATATTTTTTGTATTAATTATATAAATATATAATCTTCTAAATGTTCACACAAATTAAACCTATATATTATATATAATAATATAACATAATTTTACTAGCTACCACAGAAAGAAAGACAGATGAGACCATTGTGATAATATGGTGGCTATACATCAAGAAAATAATATTCACCCTCTCATTTTCGAGTGAGAGGATATATGACATTTTCTAAATTTATGTATTCAAATATTTTGCTTAAGCTATAAATCAAGTGAACAATATTACATCAATGTACTCTTTGGTGTACTTTTTTTTTTTCCTAACGATTAAATATTTATTATTAAAAAAATTTGATGTGTGTCACTAAAAAAAATCTACTTAAATTTTATTTATAGTAATTTATTGAAATTCGTATAATAATAAAAAAAATATTAAAAATAGTCTATCAAATATAGGGAACATTTAATGAAAAGAAATGCATTTAAGATATAAAAAATCATTTATTATTTACCTTCTTACATAATTAATAACATTTAATATGGTGACGTAAATATTTTTTTTATTTGACTCTAATTTACCAATACTTTATATTCATTATTAATCATGCATGGCTACGTCATAAATAACAAATCCTTTTTAATTCACCGTTTTGCTATTGCTAGAGTAAAAATAGGTTAAGGTAGGCTTAATAAAACTTATGTTTAGTTTGTTTCTTAAATGTAGTGTCTAAACTTAACCTACTTACTTGATATTAATCTACTTACTTGATATAGGTAATTTTTAAAATCTAACATGATTTTAAAAATTACCTGTCTAACATGATTTTATTAGAAGTTTGAACTTCCAAGCCTATTTTATAAATAAGTTTAACATGACAATTTTAAATAAGAAGAATGTTAGCAACATATTCTTTTAACACATTTTTTATTATTAACTAAAAATTTATTGAAAAACTATAAAAGTATAAGAGAGAAACGTTAATCTAGAAATAAAAGAGAGTAAGATTTACATGATTTTTTTTATAGTTTTCCATACATTTTAGTCAATAATAAATAATGTATTTAACATACTATGTTACTAACATTTCTCTTTCAAATAGAAGTAAGGAACTCTACGTTAATCCCAAAAGGATACTCACATTTCCAAAAAATGTACATGAAAATGAAGACCAAAGTGAAATGATTGTCAAAACACTCATTTCTATAAATAATAATTGCATTACAATAAATTCAAATTGACCAACTAATATTAGAAATATTAAAAAATTCCTACATCATGTGTCTCAATTACTAAGACATGGTTTATATACCCATTAAGTAACCTCACTCAATAACAATTGGATTTAAGATAAAATTTAACATGGGATCTCCTCATTTTCATAATTTTCACTTGAACGGTGGTGTTAGAAAGTTTTATATTCTTTACCTTAATTATCAGGGTGTAATTTATATATCTATTAAATAACTTTATTTAATGACAATTAGTTTTACAATGGAATTTAATAAAATCATATCAGCATCTAAACTTTACTTTTGAAGAGAATTTTAAAAAATCATAAAATATAAGAAGTATTCAAGAATTATACAATGAAATTGACTTTACACAATAATTTATTTATTTTCGTATTCATAATGAACTTTTGAACTTTGATAAAGTCATGAAAGACAAAAAGTAGGTAGGGACAAATCATGAAAAAAAAAAATCAAAGTCATTGAAAGAATAACACTTAAAAGTTACGATACTTTTCCAACGGTCATGTAAGTGAGTAAAATGACAAAGGAAAGGTAAGATATTCCAAATAAGATTTATATCAAATGTTACAGTAATAATATGAAGTTAATTATACTAAGTTTTTACACTTAACGCTGCTTTGAGACTCTTCATCTTCTAATTTTCTTCAAAACTTAATGAATTAAAAAATCTTCTAACTTGATGTGAAGTTAGCCTTCTTAAATGATTTTGTTAGAAAAAATATTTATATTAAACAACCAATGAGCTTAGTTAACAAAGGTAAGAAGAAAATATTCTAGAAATGAATAAATTGTTATATAGCCTTTTCTTTTATTAGAAATTGTAATATAGTCTAATGTAACCAAGAGTTTAAAGTAGATATATTGACACTATAAAAAAAATGGATTTATTTATTGCTAGCATGATATACTTTTTAAATTATTTTTTTTTATAATTGTGATATCTTGGTTATTTCTTGTTGCTTAAATGGTCTTATATTTTTTAGAAATTACCTAAAATTATAATTTAAGATGATAGATATAAAGATCATATCCTACTATTGAATATTAGAAGTGAAATAAAAGGATGATAACATTTTTTTAATAGGAAGGTAAACAAATTTAAAATGCTTAATTGCAATACTATGAACATATTTGCAGAATGTGAATTAAAATTGTTAAAATATAATAATAGAGAGAGAAAAAATCCTATGCTTTTTAAGAGTATGATAGAAAATTTGATATGCTTAACAAACATAAGGTCTAATATTTTGAATGTGTTAGAGTACTGACTCTATGAAACTCATATCTTTATTTATGTAAAAGTAACGAAAAATATTTCGTTAAATAAAGGTTATTTGATTTTTGGCTATTGGATTGATAGATTTTGTAATAGTAATTTTTAGGAAGATATTGATGATAAAAAAGTATTGCTGAGAGATAATTAAATTAATGAAAATTTTTAAAATTGCAAGGAATAGGATGAGGGAGATATTTTAAAATTTTTCTAATTAAAGAAGGGTGTTGAAAATAATTAAATAACAAAAATATTTATTTTATTTTAGTTTTTGTAAATTTTTAATTTAATTAAATATACTAACCAAAAACATTTAAACTATTTCATCAAAAGAAACTTAATTTAACTGTAATAAGAAGAATTATATTCTTCAAGTTTGTAACATAGCTCTTTAAATGCACCCAATATACTTATATATATATATATATTGCACAATTTTGTATTTTAGGAATAAAATATTATAATTATTAATATTTTATCTTTATAAAAATTATAAAAAAACCATTATATAACTAATTGATTAGTATTAATTAATTATAATAAAAATTCTCTTAAAAAATAGATTCCTCGTGTTAACATTATCAACCGTCAATATTTTCTCTTCAAAAAAATAAACATGACATAAAGTTATTAATTATTAATCAATGGGTAATATTAAAATCAAATATTTTCTCCCTAATGAAGTCATTATTAATAATGTTGTCAATTGTGGATAATGGAAGCCCTTCATTTTCACCAGAAATGACCCTATAGTATATCTAACCTCATCTCTTTGGAGATGATTATCCTTAATGTCAGCTATATGCAGTCTGGTTAAACTATTAGTACAGACAAACCTCAAATTTATTTTTCTCCCTATGAGCCAACAAGTTTTAAAACAGAAAATTTCTAGAATTCTCAAATTTTCTAAGACTCAACATTAATAATTATTTGGGGGAGCATATTTTGTTTGGCAAGTCGTGAAAGTATTGTTACTTATATCTTATTGAGAAAATCAAGGGAAAAAAACCTTAGAAAAGTAAGCAACTTTTTTTTATATAGGCAAAACATATATTATTAGAGAGAGTTGAAGGAGAACTCAAAACACATATACATAGAAAAAATTAATACTTACTCAAGAAAATAAAAAACAGAAACATACTTATGCAAAACTAAGATAGATACAATTGTGTAGGTTCAAATTTCAATTAGCTAATAAAATAATTTCTCTCTTACTAATAAGTGATAATCATTTTCAAGATCTCAAAATAATAGAGTGTAGGACTTCTCTCTCATCTAAAATACTATTGGAAAATACTATTTTATTTCTATGTAACTATAAAGATTATACTGTATTTATCAAAACAATTAATAAATATATTTTTTATCTTTTACTACAATCAACACCAACCCAATAAAGCAAGTGAGCCAATAAATTTGAAGGTCAATAAATTTAAAGGTAAAATCAGTGAAAATTCAAGTCAACGTGTAGTAAAGTAACTACTTTTTATTTCTTGAAGTGCTCTAGTTCTTTTTATTTATTTATTTATTTATTCATTTATTATTTAAAGAGCGACAAGGAAACACGAAAATTTTCAAGAATCAAAGTTCAAATACTAATTTTCTTGCATATAAGCTGTTAGCTCTTACCACCTGAGCTATGCTGCAAGATTTAACTTATTTTATTATTATTATGAAAATTTGTGTTACATTTGAGTCTGTGTGATGAGTTTGACAGGCTTCGTAGAAACTTAATTTGTAACTCATAAGTATCATATGTATGATTCAATATCACTTGAATCTAAGATGTATTATCCTCGTACAAGCAAAAGTTAAATTGCATTTGAAGTAAACCAAAATACCAAATTAATATTGTCCATCACAAACACAAGGAACTCTTAATTTACTTTTATTTCTGCATCAATCAGAATGGAAAATTTCTAGGAGGAAATCTTAGCTATGGATATCGAAAGGATTTGAACCTTCACAACTAGAGTATCGTCTTTAATATATCCTTTTGCTACTTCATGTAGTTCCTTGAGTGTTACAAACTTGGGATATCCCCATTCATCGCTTGAGGCACAAAACCAGTGGCTTGCTGCAGCATAAGAAAGTATAAAAGTTAGAAGAAAATTTTAATTAATATAATCATATATATAACTCTTATGTGCCCAAAATTAGAAGAAATATTAGTAAAAACTATTATTAATTAGTACCTGTTTTCTCCAGATATTTATTCTTGAGCTGGTCCAACATTCCCAACTTGAATTTTGCATACACTGTTCTCTTCGGTGGGAACCTTTCACAACTTGTAAGCTCTAGAAAAACAGATAGATTTTTTCCTTTCTCGTCTACGTTTCCTTTGGGATAAACTCTCAATTTCCTACATATATATATATAAGAAAAAAAATATTTTTTGAATTAAGAAAATAACTAGTACAAATGATTTTCAAGATATATATATATATATATATATATATATATATATATATATATATAAAGTTTGAAATATGTTAATGCTTGAGTAATTAATCACCAGTCTCTCTCCCCCACAGTGAAGGAATTGGAGAGGTAATATGATTTATCCAATGTTGAGAAGTCGTCAAGTTTCCAAGTGAAGGTGCCATGAGCTGGCTCCTTGACCACAGAAAGAGTTTCCCATTTGCCAGAATGACTAATCACAAAAACCTCAGCTCCAAACACACATGAATCTTGAACAAGGTATCCATTAGATGAATCAAAGAGGTTCTCCAACAAAAGTAATTGCTCAAAACCCCATTCTGTTTTCATTTCATGAAATTTTCTTACTGTGCCATCAATATCTGCCACGATTAAATAACATTTCATTCAGAAGCACATTGAAAACTTGCCACTTTTGTGCTCAATACGAGTTAAGGTAAGAAAAGAATGCTACTTGAAAAACAAAAGATAAAATAAGAATGTTATCAATTTACTTTTATAATCATGCCTTTATTATTCATTTTCATTTCTTTGTTTGATCACTTTTAAAAGAGAATTTTGCTTTTATTTATATGTCTATTTAAAAATTGAAGGCAACATTAATTACCCTTTTTAATTATGTATTATCTCTACTTGATTCTTGAAAATATCTTTAATATATACAAACAAAGATATAGTTACATTTTTTTAGCTTGCATATTATCCTCTTAAGAAAACAAATAAAAAAAATAGTTAAAATTACTAAAACTTACAAAATCAGGTATTAGATTCATTAAATACACAGTAAATTCTATAACTTGATGAATTTCAATTCATTTAACCAATATAACAATAAAAAAATGTCGTAGAAACTAGAAGGTAAATGTTAACATCAGCATTTAATAATATCTATTTAAGTGCATGTGCTTGTAAATGGACATGGCTTTTTGGAAAATTTCACATAGTATTAATCTATACCTTGGATGGCTAAATATTTGTTGTTTTTCTGATCAAACACAAATAACTTGAAGTTTACATTAACCTCCCAACCGTGAGAAAGCTTCTCAGTATCTGCTATTGCCAAGTATAAGGAGACGTAACCACTGCCATTGCTTTTCTTATCACCACTTGGATAGAGTATCAACCTCCTGATGCAAAGAATGCAACCATAAGCAATAGCCTTATTTTATAAATATGATAATATAAAATATAATAGTTAAATAAAAATAAAATAATAGTTCATGTATTTTATATTAAAATAATAAATTTTATACATTATATTTAGCTTTTTATGGAATAAAATTTGCAGTAAAACATAAGATAACTAAGATTGTAGAATAAATGCGTTGTGGCTTATTAGTTAGTTAGACAACCATTAAAAATTACGATAAAAATATATGTCTTATCATATTTTCTTGTACATATGGTCGTTTTTTCTTAATAAATACTCGTTTAAAACTATAATTGATTAATTTAATTTATAAAAATTTTATTTTAGTCTTTAATTTTTAAATTTTATATATTTTAGTCATTTTATTTTATTTTTATTATAATTTTATTCTAATAAAGATAAAGTAATATCATTTTGTAAAATTATATATTAAAATAATATTTTTATAAAATTAAAATAAGTAAGATATTATTTCCATTCTTTAATTTCAAAATTAAATCTCAATTTTACTTTTAATTTTTACTACTATTTTGTTCACTTCTTCGTATTTTTCTCTCTCTTCGATTATAATGTATTATTCAATTACTATACATAATCAAATATTTATTTATAATAGATAAACCTTTTACTACAATATAAAAAAAATAATTTTATGATATATATATATATATATATATATTAATTTAGTATAATTATTATATTATAGAGTATAAAAGTTATAATTTACATTTCAATCATGATTTTTTATAAATAAAATTAATTCTATCAATCCACACACGGGCAGGGGAATTAAATCTACTATTCATAATTTGGGAGTGTTTACTCTATTTTTCTTTTTTGTTCTATCTTGATTGAACCATCATGAGTTGGTGTGTAAATGGACTCCTTGTACAGCATCAATAAACTAGCAATAGTTCACTCTATATCTATTTATTATTCATAAAAGAGAGTGTGCGAAAATGCAATAAATGTTACTTGTTGGTGATAATTTTGTTTTCACTCTAAATCCATTTTCACTAATAATGCCTCATTTTTATGTAATTACAATTTTAAAAATATTCAAATAAAATTTAAATTATATTAAAATATTCATTATGCTTTTCAAAATAATAAATTCTTATGTTCGACTTTTGATATTGTAAATTAATTTATAAAACGAATGATATTTTTAAATAATTATTTATTCACTAATTTTTATATGAATGTTAATTAACCAACTATTTATATTTAGTCTTTATAGTTATAAATATTAAATAAAAAATAAAATTCTTCTCATAGACTTTATATTATTATAAGTGACAAAATTTTTAATTTTATTTTTATCTTAAAAATAAAAACTCAAACTCAAATTATTTTTTATTTGTTTACATTAATTTAGCTTTTAACAAGCATCTTAAATATTTTAAATTGTTGAACCTAAAATTAACATTTTTGGAAGAAGACTTTTAGAGGAGAAGGAAGAGAACACATAATTTTTAATTTAAAATTAAGAGAAATTATATATTATTTATAATAATAAATATATAATTAATATATTAAATTTATATTATTTATTATTTTTTTAAGAAACTAATTTAAAATATATTTTTTTAAAATAGAAAATTCATCATTCCTTCTCATTTTTTACAAAATTCTCCTCGCTAAACAGACCCTTATAGAAAAAGCAAACATTTTTTTTAAGTATATTTCTCACGAGATTTTTATATTTTGTTTGGATAAAAATAAATAGAATAAAATAAATATGAATAATAATTTATTTTTTTTATTTGGTTAAAAAAAATAAAAAAACTTTTAAAAAATTAAAATTTTCTTTTCCATTATTTTCTTAATTTTAATTTTTATTCTTTTTTCTCTTCATGTTTTTCTTTACTCCTCAAATAAAAAGGTTAAGTTAAAATGGAGACTGGTTTAAGTACAAAACATTATAATAATATTTAAAAACAATTTAAAAATTATATGACTTTGAAATTGAGATAGAACTTCACATATATCCTTCTCGACACAAAAAAATGACATATAACAATTAATTAAATATTAAATAAAAGGAAAAAATAAAATCATTATCACCTATTATTTATATGAATCTCTTTGTGTTATTTTTACATTATTTAATCAATTACAGGAGATATAGACAGGAAAATAATTTTCTTACGTTCGTTGTGATTGAATGTAGACGTAAGATGCTGATGTCACAAACGATCTATGCAATAATATTACTATGAAAAATTGAATGCTCTTTTTTTTTTAGAAAATCATTAAAAAATAAAATTTAATGTAATTTTAATAAATTTTCCTTTAAGCTTTTAAATCTTTTAAAAAAACTATACAATTTAAATATTTTAATCTATCTCCTTAACATGATCATATAATAATTAATATTAATAAAAAATCATATAAATAATTATTATGTGACTTTTTTAATTAGATATATTAAATATTTTTTACTAAAAATAATTTTTTAAAAATAAGAACTAAAATTATAAAAATAAACAGAGAAATTAAAACTAAAATTTATAAAAAAATTATATTTATATTTAAATAAATACATAATTAAGTTAGATCGTGAATCACATAACACCCTTCATGTTAAGTTTTGAATGATGAAATACATTTCAAAAATTTTTAATGTAAATAATCTTTTTAAAATTATATATTTTTTATGATAAATAATCCTATTCGAGTCATATATTAATATTTTAATAAAAATTAACATACAGAAGTAAACAATTTTTTAAAAAACAAATAAACATATATCGGTTAAATTAATTAATCTTAATGCCTGAGTGTGCATTTTCTTTTGTCAACTTAGAATTATAAGTAGAAAAAAAAAACTTTAGAGGTTCATTTGTAATATAGATTAAAAAAATGTATATTAAAATAAAAGAACCAGTTATAATTTAAATATCTCTCGCCAGAAAGGAATAAAAATAAACAAAACTTTTTTTTTGGGGTTACAATTAAATTTGAAACAAAAGGATAATTTAAAAATTGTTCTACTAAACAATCAAATCAACAAATAAAAGATTAAAAAAGGAACTATTTCTGAAGTGGGTCAGAAAGGAATGAGGCAGGGATAAGGAAAATGATCTTACCATTTGTATCCCCCAGCTTCAAAGACATTAGTCTCATACTTTTCCACCCCTGTGTTCATCAATTCCGAATATGATTCGATTTTGAACAAGTAATGAGCTGGTGGCACATCTCTCTCCGATCTAGAAATACCTGCACATATAAGAATTGATCTTGTTTTCTGAAAATGGATGATTAATTAAGCTATATAGCAATATTAATAATATAATAATTAATAAAAGAAACAAGGGGTGACCAGCTGATCAAGAAATGCATACCAATTTCATTGTGAGAACTTGAAGCTGGCTTGCAGATCTCAAGATCAGACAACACCATTTTCTCAGATTGATGGATTAAAGATGAAAAACTATGAAGAGGCTAACACACCATTATATTCAACTTTTATGGAGGAAACAACTGGCATTTGTTTGTTTGACATTTGATAAAAAAAATTAAATTAAATTAAGTGCCGATCCAATAATTTATAAATAAAGAATGACGAAATACATTAATTAGAGAATGACCAAAGACTTGAATTAAAGAATGACCAAAATATACAACCTGGTGCATATATATCCCCCTTTCTTTTTTAGGTGTTCACACCTCTGCTTGATTTAAAAGGAAGAAAAAGTGGGAACGATAACTTGGATTAGGATACCTTAGCATTTTAAATCCCTTTAATTAATGTGTTGACTCATGTCAAACATCAGTGATATTTACATCTTAAAAGAGTTTGATCTTAGATTGTTTTGGCTAAACATGTCCTGGATTGGAGCAAACCCAAAAATGAAAAAAATTAAGGGTAAATCATTTGAATTTAAACCTTTTATGATTACTCATGACAAGGGTGATTGATAGGGACTCTTTACGAAGTCATTCACACGGTTGAGACGCTGAACAATTAATGGTTACAAAAGAGTAATATAGCAATGATAGATGTTTGTACGATAAATCTTAGGAAACACGAATGAAATAGAAAATGTGTCAAAAGAAAATTAAAAAAAAAAAAAGGAATTTTCAAGAGGTAAGGAATGTAAGTTTATTATCATTTAATAATATATATGATAATAAAAAAGACATTAATGGGTGATTCTATGTTAATTTGAAGAGTAGTTAATACTTTAACAAATATTATACAAAGTTAGATAATTTGGCATAATCGTGATTTAAGTGTTCCTAAACATGAAAGTTATTATCATAGTTTAAATTTTTATTATTCAACTTCAGTTATTACTTCTATGAATGGCAACAACTTGAATTGCTACATTATTATGACTTAATTGCAAAAACAAATCTATATATCATCTGTACATTACTCCTACATACTCTATTTTCACTTTACCACCAATAATATTTACAACCATCATTGTCATTACTTCTTACAAACTAACATTATCATCACCATAAAATTACTGGTAGTTCTTCACCATCATGTGTAAAAAGAAACTCATAACCATTATTAACCTTTTATTATATCAAATGTCATTTCCTGTATTGTGATAATTTTCGTGCTCTTAAATGTGAGTTAAGCGACATCTTATCCTTATTTTAACTTTGTTAGAGTAAATTTTAAATTTTGTTTTGTGAAAGTAGTTAGTATATAACTATTCTTTAAAGTTACTTATAAAGCAGTTTCATGTATAACTATTTTTTAAAGTTACTTTAGAGAATGATTATATACAAAATTGCTCTTCAAATAAAATATTAGAGAGTAATTATATTATTTTTTTCAACAAGTAACTGCTTCAAAAGATTTAAAATAACGTAGTGATATGATACAAGCCTTGGAGTACCCTTGTCGTGTTACTAATCTTGACACGTGCTTCTATTTTTGCTCCTTTGGTTTTTATCGTCATTATACTTTGGTTGTTAGCGTGTTTGATATATGTCATGCATTGTTCACTTGGTCTTTTTTCTTTTCTTTTTTTGTAAAGTTTGAATATATTTTTATCGTGATTCTTTTGGTTTGAAATTTCATGTATAGAAACAAGTTTTCAAAATTTTTAGGTGAGGAATGAAGAGGAGGGATTGTTAGGATCATGGCACCATAGGACAGTTTCTTTTGGGAGGCTGCAGCACGATGTAAGATATGAGAATCTTTTGGAAGATTATGGTTATATTGTGAATGTAGTAAGTGTTACTAAAGCTTTGCATGGTGATCACGGATCTTTAAATTGCTATATGTATGGGTTCAGTAGCCACTGCTTCCTTTGTTTGATAGATATGACCTTAAATTTAATTTGTCTATTAATGTGTACTACTAGGAAGCTTGGTCGGATGGGATTATATTTGATCATTACAATGGGGAGGAGAAAAGGATTGCATTTTTCTCTAATTTGGGTGATAAAATATAAGTTGGAATTTATCAATGACAAATTACTCAAGATTAGGATGAAGTTATGGGAAAGAAGGAGGAACGAGAGAATTAGGTGTTTATTGAATTAGCCAAGAACAAACTATATGTTCTAGTTTTAGAAAAGAAAATTAGATTTGTCTTATAATAATAAATGAAATTTTGCATTGATTGAGAGTGGACATATAATGCGAAGGACTTGTGGAGAAACATAGTGATAGAGGTAATTGATAAGTACTTTACTCTTGTAATAGAACGTAGATCCTCAACTTATTTAAGGTCTAATTCAAAATATTAGAAACTACTAATGTTGTCTAAAGTTGAATTATATTTTGAGACTATTAAGAAATATGTACTTATTTCTAAGCCTACAACTAGAACACTTTGAATAAAAAAACTTCAAAAATATCTTACATATCTTATATGGAAAATGAGTGAAAGTGGTTCAATCATTGAAGATTGAAAAATTATACAAAATTATTGGAAAAAACTAAGTGTGGTGAGAGTGTAAATTAAAATTTCAAAGAAGATAAATAATGTTAAGTTTGATCTAATAAAATTTCATCTTACAGTGAAGTGATATTGTGTATAAAATATCGCAACCAAGGCAGTCGCAACGGTACGGCAAAAGCGTATTTAAAAAAAACATCTTTTAAGAATAAAAAAATATTTTCTAAAAAAACAGAGAAGTCACCACCAAAGTTTATTTAAAAAAACTTTGAAATTTTTTTAAAATAATATGATCTTTGAAACCAAAAATGAGTTCAGAAATCATTTAGTGTAGGAAAGGTATTAGCACTCTACAACATCCTGTTTAAAAACAGTTACCATAAATTAACTGTGTAAATTTATTTTAATTTTGAAAAATATTTATTTAACCCCTAAACATTAATTATTTTATTCTAGAAGAAAAAATTATTTATTGAAATGTTAACTCAATATCTTAAAAGAGAAAAAATTATTTTGACTTGACGAGTCCAGTTCCTGCTCCTACGTATCCCATGTGCAATGGAGAACTCAAAGTTATATAATTCTATCTAAAAATTATGAAGTTGGTTGATTAAAATTGATTTTAGTAAGAGAAAGTTTATTTTGAAATTCAAATTATTTTTATAAAATTATACAAGATAACGCAATTATACATGTACCTTACGAAAAATAATACAAAAGATGAAAGAAGATCACACAACTATACTGCAAATCATTAAAAATATTTTATTCGTAAACAAAGTATTTGAATTTAAATTTTAATTATGATTAATGTTGAAAGAAAATTTAAGATAGCGTAAGCTATACATAAATCTCTTATAATTTATTGAACAATTGAAGGTAATGTAAATCGCACATTGATATTGCAAAATTTGTATAGTAAAATGAATGAATAATTGGTTATTTAATTTATCAAAATTTGAAATATGACTTTTAAAAAAATGGAATTGATTCTATTTAATAAAATGAATAAATATATTTAAATTGATTAAAGAAAATAGTTACCTAGTAAAAAGATTATAACTTCATTTGATAAATTTATATTGCATAGGACCTAAGGTAACGTTAGTACACAAAAGTCTTAACGATTTAAAGTATATAAAAGTAAAAATGCTACACAATAATACTATAAATCGTTGCATTAATATGATGAAAATATTCTAGATAATAATAATAATAATTGATTAATTTTAGAAATTGGATAAAACTATTAATATATTACCTAAGGTAATGTAGGTAAATATAAATTTTATCAATTTATAACACATGACGGTAGAGAAGCTACACGTTAATATTATAAATTGACTCAAATATTGTATTATTTATTTATTTAATATTAAATTGAAAATATAATTCGTTTATTATCAAATGTTTAAAATTATACAATACAATAAATAATAATAATAATAATAATAATAATAATAATAATAATAATAATAATATTAAGCAGCATGAATAAACGATTGAGATTCAACCAATAAAATAATGAAATAATAAAAAAAAACACAAATATTAAGATTAATTCAATTTTAATCATCATTTATTATTATTCTAATTTTTATTGCTAACAAAATTAATAAATAAGATTAAGAAAAATAAAGTAAAATAAAATAAAATACCTAAATTTTAAACAAACTAACATAGAATCTTATTATTAAAAAAGGATTAAAAGGTAAAATGCAAATAAAATAAAATAAATGACAAATAAAGAAATAAAATAAACAAACATAATAGTAAAAAGTAAAATAACATAAAACCAAATCACCGACACATTGATTGAACTTTTTAAAACTCTTTGATATTTACGCTGATTAGATCTTTTGTACCCTCCAATCTTTAACCATTTATTGTTTTAAAAATGTAGGTAACAATAATAATAAACAAAAGAAAAGGTATTTGATTTGATTATTTGTTGTGTGTGCAGGTACATAACATATTCACGGTTGCTACCTAGTGGTGCAGTTTAGGGAGATTTATAACAGCTCGGATTTTGTAATAATATTTTAATATATTAATATAATTATATATGTGTATTTTCATGTGTTTGTATGTTTGATTTCTGTATATGATGATGTGTATATGTGTGTATGATGTGGACATGTATGAATGTGTGAATATGATTGTGAAGAGGTCCATATATTGGATTGTGACTGGACTGGAGTTGATTGAATATATATATATATATATATATATGCAGGTTAAATGTGGGTGCTGCAGGGTATTCTCGCTAAAGTGAGAGGATTCTTGTTGTAGGGAAAGGATTCTTACCGTAGTGAGAAGACCATAAGCGTAAGGCATGAAACTGTGTCGTTCTGGTTGTAGCGAGAAGGCACCGGGAGAAAGAGGTGAAACTGTAGCGTTCTCGTTGTAACGAGGGAACAAGGGCGACAGTGGAGGGTGCATTTCTGGGTGCAGTCTCATTGTAGCGAGAGGGTCTCGCTGTAGTGAGATTCTGCAGAAACCAAAGCGCAATTTCCTCTGAGATTTTCATTGC